CCAGATTAAGAGCTGGCTTTCTCAAGTCAGCTAGGTCATTTACCACACTCCATTTGCTTTCCAGCTTTCAATTTATTATTATTATGTTGTGGTGGTTTTCTCCTTTCTCATTCTCCTTGTCCTTGACGGACCGTATCTTTTAAAAAATTCCTTTACCATAATTAAAGTGGGGTTTCTGGAATAAATACAATTAGATGCTTATGTTAAATCCAGTTTTATCCCCGGAAGTCCAGGCTAAATCTAAAAACCATTCCTGATTGTCTATGCCATTCATTTCCCCTTCCCACCCAATTCTCCAACCACCCCAGTGGTTTACAAAGATCAATACTTGGGACTGGTCGAGAGGGGCTCCTCGCCTGGGCACCCCATTTCAGAGGACGTGACCCCCACAGAGCCTGGCTAAACAGGCCAGCTGCCCACAGGCATGTCTGCGGGCCTCTCATGAGGTGGGCCCACATTTGGGAATTCTCTTCAGGCCTTCCAGGTGGTTATAAACATATAGTCAAGGTTGGAGAACAGAACATATTTTATTTGTTTATTTAAAAAAGCTTTGTTAGACTAACTTAAATATTCAGACATATGATACAGCTTTATAAACCTAGCAAGTAGCTGGTCCACAGTTAAGCGTCGACTTCCTTCATGGTTTCTGCTTCCCCAGGCCCTCTGGCTTCGCAGCAACCAAACAGTAACCCTGACAAGTGACTTACAGGAATCAGAGAGGAATCCATTATTTAAGACACTTTGCTGCCATCTGTTGGAAATTTTATGAAGTAACTACAAATCAATGAAGATAACTGACGGGCACCCCTAGCTGTTGGGCAAGGCATAATTTGCACAACCAGAGGGGCAGCTCTGCCTTGACCAGCTTTCACAGAAGTGAATGAATCTCTGCCATGCCAGGGTGAGATGAGGAAGATTACAGAGCAAATCAGGAACGCAAACTCCCCCCACAGTTAGGAGGAACTGTGCTCTGGTGCCTTGACTTAGAACTGAGAACCGCTTTCCTCACAGAGAAAAATGCTCTCACTGCTAATCTAAATCTAGTTCACAGGAGGAAAAGAAAAACTGGCTTTAGTAGGTTACCTTGAGAACGTAATACTAGTTTTTATTTTATGCACACTAGCTCTGTGTTCCAAATAACTAAGTTCCGAAAGAAATTTAGGAATGTGCTAAAAAGTAATTTTGGAATTCAGTTGGCTAGTAAATGCAAGCTGCTTCTTTCTAATGGCCAAACCTGATTGAATCAGGTTGGTAGTAGGTCAGTTCTGTTTTAGTGCTTGCTTTGAAAATGTAACTGTTCCACCACAACTGACGTATCAGGGAACAATCTGCAAAAACATAAATTTTTTATCATGATTTCATCTGTGAGAAACACTATGTGAGCAAACAAAACTGCACCCAGCTGAACCAAGCCACATACGAAAACACAAAATGCTCACACACACGCACACAGCTCACACTTGTACCAGTGACCTCTCTTTGCTGTTATGAGCCACACCCATACACGTCTTCTATGACAATGTTCTATTCAATTTCCAAAAAACCCTCCCTCCATCCCTTCACAATAAACTTAAAAACTACTCTGATGCCCACTACCACAAGTACATTTCAGGATATTTTTCAAGGTAAAGTGCTATATTTATTGTAGTATTTGTGTATTCCTCAACCATTTAGCCCTCCTTGGGGTTCCTCTCCTGGAAAAGAACATAGGGAATCCAGAGCTTGGAAAGTGTGAGAGCCACACAAAAACAGGAGGGCTTCCCCACACACGCTGACTCGGCTTACTTATTTGCAAACAAGTTTCTGGAATTTTCCTTCTTCTTCTCTGGTCCATCCTTTGCTAGTATTTGCTTGTCTTCCTAACCTCTAGATGTTGTACCAGGGCTTAGTCTTGGGCTTCTCTCTTCTTCTTCTACAGATTTCCCTGGTGATTTCATTCAACCTCATGGCTTCAAACACCATCTAGTTGCTAAAATCCTGCAATTTATATTCCCAGTCTGTACCTCTCCCTTAATTTCCACTAATAAATTTCCACTTGGGTGTCTAAGACGACCCTCAAACTTAACATGTCCAAACTTGAGCTCCTGGTTAATCCCACTTTCCAACCTGCTTCTCCCAGAGCCTGGCCGGTGTGGCTCAGTTGACTGGGCATCGTCCTGTGCACCGCACGTAAAGGTTGCTGGTTCAACTCCCGGTCAGCGCAGATGCCCTGATTATGGGCTCGATGCCCAGCAGGGGTGTGCATGAGGCAGCCAATTGATGTTTTGATCTCACATTGATGTTTCTCTCTCTCTCTCCCTTCCTCTCTCTAAAATTCAATTTTAAAAATCTTAAAAAAACACACACACAACTTCATTCTTCTTGCTGCTCTAGCCAAATTTATTTTTCTGTTTCTCACTTCCCACATCCAATCCAACAAGCAAATTCTGTTGGCTCCACCTTCGAATATATTCAGAATCTAGTCACTTCTCAGCCTTTCTACTACTGCCATTATGGCCCGAGTTCTAGCCTCTCTTGTCTAGACTGTTGGCAAAGCATTCTAATTGGTCTCTGAATTCCCATTCTTGGATCCCTACTCTCAACATGGAAGCCAGGGGATCCCCGTCTCACAGAATAAAAGCCAAAATGCCCTCATGATGACCTACAAGACCTTCATTATCTGCTCAACGATGTCATCTCTTACTACTCTCCCCTTGTTCTTTCTACTCCAGCCTCCTTGGCATCTGTGCTGCTCCTGGGACATTCCAAGCATATTTCTCCATAAAGGAGCTGTTCCCCTGGGTGGAAACCCTCACCCCCAGGTATCCACATGCCTGACTCCCATACTTTTATCAGATCTTCACTCAAATGTCAACGGCAAGGTTTTCTTTGGTCAGCTTAGCTAAAATTACACTTCCTTGATACTTCCTATTCCACGCCCTGCTTATTTTTTCCTCTGTACTTATCTCCATCCAGCACAGTATGTATTTCACTTATTACTCTTCCTTACTGTCTGTCATTCCTCAATAGGATGTAAGTTTCACAAAGGGAGAGAGCTTTGTATATTTTTTCACTGTTGTATCTTAAGTGCCTAGAACAGTATCTGGCATATAGTTGTCCCTCAATAACTACTTGCTGCATAAACAAACGGGTTTCTTAAAAATTAAAAATCAATAAAAGCCACACAATGTAATCTAACACAATAATAACGTGTACTGTGAATAGTCATCAATAATCTGTCTTCCAAATTACATAAGAATCTTCTAAAGGCAGAAATGTTATCTCACACCCCTTTTTATTCTTAGGGACCAGCACAGAATGTTATATATACAGCAATTATTCAATTCAATATTTGACAGCATGAGATTTTGCTTAAAGACAAATCACTAGGAGATAAAAATAGAACCACCGAATAATGATCTAATTCAACATTAGAATGGCACGTAAGAAAAAATGGCTCTAAAAGTAGTTTTTTCTTTTCCCCTCTAATATTTACGAGCAATAGCTTTCAGTGCTAATTTAGGACATCCACTCTGAAAATGATCATGGTCTGCCATGAGTCAAGACTTGTTGTCCAGGACAGAAGGTGGAGGACTGGCTCCAGACTAAGCACCTTGGACACCTAATCTTAGCTTGTCTTTGGGATCAGTATCTGGAATGTTGGAGATATTTAACAATTTGTGACAGAGTTCTCTCTTCTATAAAATTGTAATAATTCAGACTATGAATACAGTTCCTTTGTGGGTCAAAGTTCGTCAAAGGTTTCTAGAGAAGTGACAAAGATAATCATCAACATAACACTGTAATAATGACAGCAAAGAAACAGAAAGAAGGTGACTGTGAGCTGGTCTAATATGCACACAATGTGTACATGAAATACAAACAGGCTATAAAATGGTTACACCCAGACAGGTTTGCCATACAATTTGGGCCAACACCTAAACTGGATTCAACACGTGCTAAAGAAGTACAATGGAAATAAAATGAGAGGAAAATCTGACTTCTCCAAGTATTGACTCCTTGGAGAAACGTGTTTGCTAATCTAACTAACTTCCAGAAAAACAACTCTTACAGGATAAAAAGAGAAATAAAGAATTCAAATTCTGACCAAGAATTCTGAGTTCCATTTAAATTATGAAGAGAAATGAAGAAAAAGGCAAAAACAAAAAACAAACCCTAATATTCAAAAACACAAACAAAATCACAGACTTATCTGTAGTAGCCAATATACAGACAATAAATAGTTCTGTCCTATCCACCTAGCAAATGTCTATGACTAAATGCCTAGGTTCACTAAGCAATAACAATACAAAGCACTTCCTACTATTCAAATTCTATCATTATTTTATTTAATCTTAATTATGTTCCCTTAAAATCACCTGACCTAAGTATCTATAAATCCATTGGCAAACATGCAAAACATGATACAATACATTTGGTAGGGAACAGGAAAAGAGCTCCTTTGATGTTGACATTAATTTCTTTAGTGTATAACAACTCATGTGGGTTTTTTTTTAATTTCTCTTCTGTCACCCACTCTAACCATAGCCCCAAATATAACTTACATGAAATGTATAAAATTAGCTCAGCTAAAGTAGTGTGATCTGGCATTAAACTGCACAAGACAGAATCAGTAGCTGTGTGAACAGGACACAAAACACTCAATACTAAGTTTCCATATAATACTAGCTCCCCAGTGAATTTCAGTACTTCAACAAGATCACTTAATGGTCTTTCAAAATCTAAAGCGAAGCAGTAAACTCAGAAACAACACACCATCCAACTTGTCTAGGACTGTACAGCAAACTTACAAAGCTTAGACAGATTTTATCTTTGTAAAATAACTTTGCTGCCACTTGGTTATAAAGAATAAAACTTTCTAATGACCTCTAACTCTTAGTTAACATATCAATGTGCTTCCTTAACAGGAAATACAGGATGTTTTGTTTTCTTGTAACGCTCAATAACAAGTCCATAAATTACCGGATAAAAGCTAAGAATTTTTCCTTTCATTAGCTTACCCAGTTTGGCGGCGCCCTCTGGTGGGTACTCAGGAAACTGACCCTCGGAAGGGACACTGACCGTTCTCCTCAGGCATCTCCCTTTGGCAGAGTCGGCCTGCTGCTCCTGTCCTCCCTCCGCAGGTATCTAGTTAACCAAAAGAGAAAGACATAAAACTTAATAGCGAGCTCTCCATGACTACCTTCTAGCTGAATACTGTTTTCAGTTAATAAAGACAGGAGTTTGTAATCATCAGCGCAAAGTAGAAGGAATGTAGAAATAAAGTACACACAATGGTAAAGTATTTACCAACTCCTTTTCAGGAAGCTTTTCTTTAAAAAGAAAACCAAAAGATCAGGAAAGGTGAGTATGTAAATTAGCTTAGTTGAAGTATGTACAAGTCATATCCAGGTGTGCACCTGTTTTGGGAATTCAGAAAACAAAACAAAACACCCACACAAATAAAAGATTCTTGTACATCAGAAACTGGTCCACAAGCTCCAATTCTGTCAACACTCAATAAGGTAAATGGAAATAAAAGTCAAACCAGAAAGATTTAGCTACAGTATTCTCTTAAAAGGTTTTGTTAGATAAAAGTAGTAGAATGACCCAACATTTCTTCAATTTTAGAATTAAGCACTTATAGTTAATAAAATACATTTTCAGTGAGATTTTACTAGTAACCTTTATCAAAATTAAGAATAGTATTGGTACATATTAAATAGTTTGGCAAAATATATCAAAAATTAATCATAGTTTCTAATTTCTTATGGCTCCAGTATAGAAATTTCAACAATTTCAACAATAATGACTACCACTGAGTTCTTACTATGTGCAGGGCTAAGGAATTTACATGAGTAACATTATGAGGGAGCCATTATTACCCCCTTTTTGCAGATGAGGAATAACTTATTTTTACAAATGATCTCAGTGAATACATATCACATCAAATGATCCAGAAAAACTGGGATACACACAGGCTTGAGTGCATATACCATCTACTTTGCCTCAGTAATCCAACTCCTATGACTGGGGTCAAGGGGGTGACAGCAAGGGATGCTCTCTCTGTGACACTAAGAATCTGAAAAGCAAAGTCCTAATGTCTTCATAATGGACTAAAAATTCACCATTTCCTCATTACCATAACTATGCTACTACTAGCACACTGAGAAACCAAACAGCAGAACTGTCAATGGTAAAGTTCTAAAAAAATAAGGGGAGACCAAATAATAGCATCAATAAACACACGAACTCTTCCAAAAGCACTCCGTAACATAACACTTTACAAACAGTAATCTAAGTCATTCAGCCCTCTCAGGATGAAAATTATATTATCTCCACTTAAATAATTAAAAGAGTAGCACTGAGAGGTTAAGTAACTCCCTTCTAGAAAGAGGCAAAAATGTACCCTCCTGCCTCAAACGTAGAAAAGAACAGGGGTAAATCTGAGGGGAAAAAGGCTGTCTCTCTTAACAAGTAGATGAACCTAAATAAACCACCATTTTCCTCAAAGTTCTAAAAATACCTATTATCTGAAGTAATGAAGGGCCAAGCCATAAAGAAAAAAGCTAGTAGTTATTTTTTATGTCACAGGAGGAAACAACCTATGCTCTTTCCGATGGAAATTGGTAAAGGTTACATTTAGGAAAAAGAAATGCTTCTATTATCATATACTTTGCCTCTACCATGTGTAAGGAGAGGACAGATAAAATACATAAAACTTCTTACTTGGGCCTGGAATTCACTCACAATTATTTTCTCAAAGTTTTCCTGTAGACTCTTCCTTTCCCACTATTGTAACTTAAAATATAATTCAAAGTATCACTTACAGGTTGGGATATTTTATCTCTGACTTGGGATATATGGAAGAATAGTGTTGACTTTTATTCTAAACCTGCATTTCTTATGAATATTTTACTTTTACAATATTATAGATTGACTCTTACCTAAAATATTTCTTAAAAGATATTGATCTATTTGAAAATTAGAGGGATCATATTTCAAGTATTTTCAAACTAAGCTGGAGTTCACCAATCTTTGTACATAGCCAGAGAGAATCAGTTTTAGAAAGTCAATTTTAGAAAAGTAATTTTGTTCGTTTTAATTGCCCTAATTTAGTTTACTAGTTCACTTTTTAAAAAAGATTTTGTATTGATTTTTAGAGAGAGAGGAAGGGAGAGGAAGACAGAGAGAAACATCGAAGTGAGAGCAGAACACTGGCTGCCTCCAGCACGCCCCCTACCGGTGATAGAGCCCGCAGCCGGGACTTGGCCCTGACCAGAACTGAACCAGCAACCTTTCGGTGCCCAGGATGATGCCCAACCAACTAAGTCACACCAGCCAGCACATTTACTAGTTCACACTTATTGTTTATACTGAATTACTCTTTAAAATTTGTGTATCTTCCAGGTTCTATAACATGAGAGGAATTCTTTTTAACCTCTGTGGCCTTGTACTGTGCCCCTGAGTCCAATTTTTCCTTAGGGAGAAAAAAATCAAGCGCTTTAATTCATTCCACTGCAGATAAGGAAAATGGAACACAGTAAGGAGTAAATGGCTTCTCCGGTATCTAAGATATGTTAATAACAAAAGTCAAACTGAATCTCTGAATCCTAGTGCTCTGTTAGTTCCAAACCATTGCTGACAATGGAAGAGCAACATGCATAAATAAATCAAGTTACTTAGAAAATATTATTTATATACATATACCTCATATTTTCTACATGTTGCTTTTCATTTTGCTAAGAATTACATAGAAAGCAACTTCAATTTCAATCTGTGTACATGCATATTAAATAAAACAGTCAAGTAAAGGAAACCAAGTTTATGCTAACTAGCAAAAGAAAGCGCTCTGTAATTTTTCCTCTAAAGAATGCTTAAGTGATGTTCAAGTCTACTGTATCTGGATACAGTGGGCGTATGTGACAGGCGACAGCACTCCTCTGCTTCAGCCAGAGCATAATTCTGAGCCCATCTGCTGTATAGGGCCTTCTGCATAAACTTTTCTACACAGAAAGAACTCTTTTGCTACAAGTATCCAGCTTCAGACTTTACATTTTAGGAACATCAAATTGCTTGCATTTCCCTTTGCTGAGTTTGTTGTCTCAGCTTGAAACATTTTCCTCCACTTTCTTTTCTATTCTTTACCTAACAGGTAAAACTATTCATCCTAAGGTTTAGGACAGACATCACCTCTTCCAGGAGTCTTCCCTTTCTACCAACCCCCTAAGAGAGTAAGGTTAAGGTACACCTTCCTGAGGTTCCTCCAAAAACAGATCTTTCTCTGTCACTATACTTACTATATTGAACTATAATTATTCCTTTGTGCAACTAATTCCCTGCAAGTTAACAGCTTCTATCTTACCAGTCAATTCCCAAATCTTAAAACAGCTCCAACCCTGAAATGAATCAACGAATATTTAATAGGTAGAGAGGTTGGCCATTTCAGGCAAAGGAAAAACATAACATCAGCTAAGAAGTTGGTAAGCATATGAATTTTTATTTTGTTTTGGAACAAGGAGTAGACCAATTTAGTTTGAGCCTCTTAAAGAGGGGAAGTGGGGTAAAACACCAAAATATATGATGACCCCATTGGGAGGGCTTTAATACCAGGCCATCATAATTCAGGATGTACTGGGAAAACACTCAAGTTTTTAGATCAGAGGAACAGTAATCTCTTAATTGGTCTTTCTCCTTCCTGTCTCTCCCTCTACCAATACATCTTATGGATTAATATTCACAACATAACTTTGATCAACTCCCTTCCTTTCATAAGCTTCCTTTGGTAACTGCCCATTACCAATAGCATCTTAATGACATAGACTACAGTCCTTTAGAATAAATGGATTTCTTTCTTTTATTCTATCCAATTTACTTGTGCTATTTATCAAATGCCATTTTAAAATTATTTGTCTTATTTCCACAACTAAATTTGGTATGTGGGAGAGAGGGGAAAGAGCTGTGTTTTACTCTTCATAACTCCTAACACATGAATGCACACACAGGGACACATTATGTATCTGCTGCATAACCTGAAAGTGGTTCTGAATGAAATATGCCGTGGGTAGTTCGCTAGGATAAGTAACAGTTGATTTTTGGCTGTTTGTACAAAAGCCTAACTGCTATTTTCATTAATACATCTGAGTGTAAATACTACTTTCCAAAAGCAAGAAAAACATTTTTAATTATTTTAAAGCTGCATTATTATTACCTTGCTGCCTGTGCACTAGTATCCTGTTTTAAAACTTCCAAGCATAGAAAGTAGAGTTTGAATGAAGAAAAATGGAGCCACGTTAACCCTTCCTAATGACTTGCTATTGCCAAAGGAACTCACAAATTTAGCTTTTTTTTTTTTTTGTATTTTTATACTGGCTGCACCTCAAAGAGGTTCATGATTGTCTTCTCCACCATTTCCCTCAACTCCTTAATCTCTAGTTTACTTGGTCTTATCTCCTGCAAGCAAAATGGAATTCAAACGGCCTCCTACACCCTCTTTAAACTGGCCTGGTGCCAAGCCAGCTGGGGCCTTTCCTGGCATCCAGGCAGGGAAGTCTATCTCATAACACATAAGCAATGTCTATTTGGCACAATTTACATGAAGCAATTTACTAAACCAGTGAGTCATTTCTCAAGGTGGTGCTCCTGGCAGATTTCTCTTCTTTTAGCATTCTGCCCAGACCTACCCTTCTGCTACATTCCCAAATTGGTAATCGGTGTATCTAACACTCTTCCCAGGTACATCCCCCAGGCAGACTTTTTCCCGTTTCTGACGGAAAACATGCAGAGTTAAGAGAGAGCATTAAAAGATCCCACACATTGAATGCACGAGTGATGCTAGACTAATATAATCCTCCCACATTCCAGCAGTGCCTGGCTAAGGATTTGCTTTAAACCTTTACAGAATCCTCTTAATTGATCTTTGTAACACAGCAATAAACACCCCCATGATTCGTTAAGGTTTAAAACAGCCTTTTAAGATAATTTTAACAGGAAATTCCTTAAATTCCTTGTTTCAAGGAATTCTAACTTGTTCATGCAAACTTCCGAGGGTGAGAGTTATACTCCTGCTGATAATGTGGGTGAGACAGAGTGACAGAATATTCTGGTACACACACACACACACACACACACACACACACACACACACA